ACCCCACCTGAGAGCAGAGCAGCTCTGAGAGCCCCAACCTCGGCCACTGCAGGGAGAGAAACGTTTCTTTCCTTTGCTGCTCTGCAAGGTCCAGCATCACACACACAGTTATTTTCCATTTGCAGTCACCTCCCTGTGCCGCCTCCTGGGCCCCGGCGGCTGCTGCTGGGAAGAGCAAAAGGCTCTGGGGGGAGGAGAGAGAACCTTGGAGGAGAGAGAGCTCTGGGAGGAGAGAGAGCTCTGGGAGGAGGGGGGAGCTGGAGCTGCTGGCTCTGTGCTGGACAGGGTCCCAGCCGGCAGGTCCCCGCCGTGCCGGCAGACGCCGCGAACCAGAGGGACCCGCGGCTGACGTGGCACAAGGGTCCCCTTGGAGAGCCCTCCCTGGCACCCCACAGGGGCAGCAGATGCTCTGTGACCCAGCAGAGCTGGCACAGTGTGGGGTGGATCCCTCCCCTGCTGCTCTGTGCCACGGGTCACATCCCAACCATTAAACCCCCCGTGGGGAGGGACGTGCCTGGCACGGGACAGAGGAGCCCTCACCAACCTGTGCTGAGCAGCTCCTGCCAAGGTGGGAACCTTCCAGGAGCCCATGGAAGCAGGCTCAGCACTAGAAGAGCAGCTCTAACAGAAGGTGCCAGTGCACAGCAACAGCCCCAGCTCGTGTTTATATCGACCTTCCACTCTGATCCATCCCATCCCGAGCATCAGGAGCTCGGCAGACTCGGACAGGGAATTTCTGATAATGCCACTGAAAAAAATAACAGCCTTCTAAGCTTCTACAAGTGCAGAGATGGTAAATTATGACATTTCAGTACAGGTTATTTATGTAAAAATACCACCAGACTAATACAGGAAACCTGCAGGATAACCAGGGGAGGATACTGCCAGCAAGTCTTGGGTTCTTCATTAGAATTTCCTTGGGTTTTCAAACCTCAGTTGTCTCCATCAAGAGGACACCTTCAGAAGCAACCAAAACTGAAATCACAATAAACCCAAAATTTTTTCTAAATACCATTTTAAAAGCCAAACTTGCTACATATTGGAAAACACGGCAAGAAACAATCTGGGCTCGGCAGTGCTGGGTTTATAATGGGACTTGATGACCTGAAAGGTCCTCTCCAATCTAAATGATTTTGTGATTCTGTGGTTAGAAAAAGGAACCCCAGTGCAGGGGTCTGGTACCCCCATTCCCACTGCCAGGGAAAGATGAAATGGAGGGGAGGAAGGCCCTTGCTGCTCCCAAGGATGAGGGGTTTGGTCAGGTGGGCATTTTCCCCACCAAAAAGCTGCCAACCCCCTGGAGCCTCATCAATCCCTGTCCCCGGGCTTTGAAAGCCATCTGAGCACTTGGGAGGAACGGATCAATCAATTACTTGGGAGACACTCGCAAACCACCCCTGGGAGATGACAGATCTTCCAAACAGGCAGCTCCATCAGCCGGGTGCTCCAGCCCAATCATGGAAATCGCTGCAATTCACACACAACAATCACTTCTGCCTCTCAAACACTTGTTATTCTCTCGCTTTCTTATTTACTAAGTACGTTGTGATTTGCTTAATGCCCGGAACATCTCTTCCAATGCTAGAATGAGAATGAAGGAATTGTACATTCCTGATAATTAAATAAGACAGCTTTCTCAAAATAATAACAGTTTTGTAATGTCAGACAATGAACTGAGCCAGCCAGCACAGGCAGGTCTCCTCCTCCCTGGCTGGCTGTGCTGCCTGGACTTTTCTAAGGGACACAGTGGCATTAAAGCTGATGGAATCACTCAGGATGCTCTTGAGAGCCTTTTTTTCTGCCCTTCTCTGCCCTTCACAGCTTCACCAAATTTTAAGCAAAACCCTTTAAAAATATTTGAACTTTATTTTTTTTTTCCCCAAAGAATTTCGAGGTTTGCTGCCAGCCCAGGCCTCATTCAGCTGCCCTTCATCAACACCCATGCCCTGAGTCGCTTCACCCTCGTCCTCCAGCACATCCCTGAGCCTGGAGCCCACTGCTGAGCCTGGAGCCCACTGCTGAGCCTGGAGCCCACTGCTGAGCACTCCCCAAGTCAGAATCCACTGCCAAGCACTCCCTGAGTCAGAGCCCAGCCCTTTCCCCTGGGCTCTCTCTCTCAGCACCACCAGTGGCTGAGCAGCTCAGACCCACTAACACAATTCCACGGGATAAGTGATGGTATGACCCCTGCTCACAGCAGGGCTGCTGGGCAAGGGCTCACAACCACGAGGGGAAAAACACCCTCCAATTTAGGGGCTGGCTTTGGGTTTTGTTGGGTTTGGGGGTTTTAAGACTTGCTTTTGATAATTTCCTTTTCAGGAGCTGGAGGGTCCCCCCTGTGCTGAACAGGCTGGTGGGGTGAGGGAGCCTCTCCAAGGTGCTCCCACCTGTTCTGTGCTGCCAGGACAGACAATGGCCTTGGGATGGGCAGAGCCAGAGTCACCACAGGGCCAAGGGACCCCCCTGGCTCACATCCCTGTAAACGAGTCCCTGATATTTTGCCATTGCTGCCCAGAAATGAATCCCTCTTTAATTTCTGGCTTTAACAGCAGGGTGTACACAACAGTGCACAGGTTCTGTGAGGGATGGCTTTGCCTGTATCAAACGTGGGGCAGAAAGGTTTTCTTTGTAAACTGCTTCCAGAGCTTTATGAGCTCACTGGACAGTTCACCTCAGCTTGAAAACTTGGACACAAAGCCACAGAATCACAGAATGGTTTGGGGTGGAAGGAACCTTAGAGACTCTCCAGTTCCAACCCTCTGCCATGGGCAGGGACACCTTCCATTGACACCTTCCATGAGCACATGCAGAGTTCTCACACTCATCCCTTCCTGACTTTGTGTCCTTTTTGGAACTTCATTAGATTTATTTAACTCAAGAGAGGTTGCTCACCACAGGAAGGAAAACCTTGTTGGTAATTCCATACGTTTTGTTGTTTGTTTACAGAGACCCACAGAAAACTCCATTTCAAGGTAAGGAGGAACTTCTCCTCAAAATCCCTTCCCTTTGGAACAGCCCAGACCACAGGGAGCTCCAAAGCACCAAATCACTGGTTGCTCTGAGCTGATTCCACACGAGGTTGAGTCCCCACTGTGCAAGGTGCTGTGATATCAAACACCATCACAGCTGGCACTCCTCTTAATTAGATCTGACAAATCTTGATAATGAATCATTGAGAATATGAGTTAAGCATAATATAAAGCAAACAGCAAGGATCTTATGTAATTCTTCCTACTTCAATGGCTGCAGGAATTGAGTCATGAAATTGTTTTGGAACATTTTATGACAGAAGTCAGGAGTGTTCTTTGTAAATTAA